TCGCAAGTGAAACGTATTTCAGATTGAAATAGGTTGCAGACCGCGATACGTAGGACGCAGGACGCGAAAAGCCCATTCTACATAAGACGCAGAACACGGATCGCAGGTCGCAAAACTAGAAATTAACCTAAAGGCCATTCTCCATAAGACGCAGAACGCGGGTTGCAGGTCGCAAAACTAGAAACTAACCTAATGTATTTTAGTTATGATATGATTGTAGGACGCAGAACGTAGGACGCAGAAAGTTGAAGTTGACCCAACTTTCTGCGTTCTGCGTCCTACAATCATATCATAATTAAAATACGTTAGGTTAGTTTCTAGTTTTGCGACCCGCGTTCTGCGTCTTATGGACAATGGCCTTAACGTATTTTAATTATAATATGATTGTAGGACGCAGAACGCAGGACGCAGAAAGTTGGGTCAACTTCAACTTTCGCGTCCTGCATCTTGCGTCCTACATATTGCGATCTGCGACCTATTACAATCTGAAATACGTTTCACTTGCGACCTGCAACCTTCGTTCTGCGTCTTATGTAGAATGGGTTAAAGTCTATTCTACATTAGATGCAAACCGATCGCAAGTTTGTTGCGCCAGCCAATCTGAAGCTTGCATTTTGAAATCAACGCTTCACATTGGCTGTCGCAACAAACTTGCGATCGGTTTGCGTTTAATGTAGAATGGGCTTAAAGTTCACCCAACTTTCTGCGTCCTGCGTTCTGCGTCCTACAATCGAATTATAATTAAAATACGTTAGGTTAGTTTCTAGTTTTGCGACCTGCGACCTGCGTCTTATGTAGAATGAACTTAAGAAGTAAAGTCCATTCTACGGTTGTGTAAGCGTCATAGTTGTAAGTAATTGTAGTTGGAAGAATTAATTAATCACAATTGAATGTTCTCCTGTATCTCGAAAATGTAACAGTCGTTCTAATTCCAAGTCTAAGAAAAAACTGGCTTTGACTTATGTATAGTACAATGTATGCAAATATCGTTCAACAGATTGAGTCAATCGCGTTCAGACACGACAAGCAAGACTGCCGTGTGATAAAAAGCGATATAGTGTTAGATGAAACGAGAAATCGTTCTCGGGAGAAAATTATTCAAATTGCCGATGAACTCTGAGACTCCGGCGCAGAGCACTCTACTCTCCGTGTATTGTAACAAGTACGTAGAAACGAAGAGAAGTGCTACCTATGCACGAGAAGTCGAATAACTACGGATAGCGTAGAACATCGTGGGATCGTCTTCGTGCGACGAAGATTTCTCCACGATGTTTATAATTAAGCGGTGCGACCACTTAGCAGCGAGAGAGAAAATAGGTTTAACGTCGCAGTGTATTTGGGTCGTATAAATGCGAGAGGAAAAGAGAGATCTACATGTGACGGGTTCATTCTGTCTCATGCAAAATGTATTTCATTTCTCTCTTAGGCATGCATTCTCCTTGAATATACGCAGGTCCTGGCATAACGGTCATCGATGGAACCGGAAATAGGGGACTATCTCGCTGCGGCGCGCTATCGTGGAAAGATCGCTGATTACAGTGATTAATCCTTAAGCGGACGCGCGACACTTAATTTGATTACGGACTATTCTTTCAGTATTGTTGCCATTGTTCGAGCTTGCACTTGCGAGTTCTAGCGTAAATAATACTAGAAATTACGAGTGCTATGAAATCAGTCCTAAAGGTCCATAATTACTGAGCGTTGTTAAATTCTTTGAAAATTTGTTGTTTGCACAGCGTCTTATTTGGAGTAACATTAGTGTATACGCTAATTGACATTTGCCATAACAGGAAACAGCGTAATTTGTTGCTGAGAATAAAAGCTTAAATTATAAGGACAATATATATGCGAGCCGAAATAAGAGTTAATCTCCAAGATTATTTAACGATGCGAATTCTTCCGGTAGGTATAAGAACTCACGATAAATTAACGTCCACCTATTCGATCGTTATTTCCGGTCATTCGAATACCGCTACGATTATTACCAAGGACTCTCAGACAACTCTGATTCCCAGGCGCACCTTCGTAAAGAAACAACTATACAAACGAGTCGACAAGGAAAGCGATCCTGACGTTCGGGTCGCACGAATAAAAGACGTTTCTTTCGCGAGGAGAAAAAGGCGACTGCAGAGAGCGAGATGATCGTCACCGTCACCCTGAGGACGTAAGACGAAATGGATGAGCAACGCGTCGACGACTTTTCTAATATGTGGACATTATGAACCGCTCGTCTAGAGCGGTCGGCAACCTGCCTGCGAGGAAAAAGGAAAAGGCAGTGCAGCGAGATGGGAGAGCAGGTCTGACCGGCGGAGATACATCCGTTTGTTTTAATCGCTAATCACCAATTATCCAGAAGCGTCCCGCGCCCAAAACTCCCAAAAGCATTTTAACGAGCCGCCGTGTCGCTCGGGCTCGGAATTTCACTTCGGTCCGAGGCCCGATGGGCTTCCACCGCGCTCTCGACGACCGTCCATGGGTGTTCAGAATATATCTCTCGTCCTGTTCCGTGGTTCATCCTGTGGTCCATTCGCTCTGTCGTCCGCCTATCTCGCTTTAAACCATGTGCGTGTGTGTGCGTACGCCCGTACCAATTAGTGCATACTTTGGCTCTCGGTGTCTTAGGGGCCCTTCGGGATGCTGCTCTCTTGCCGCCGAAATCTACGGTATGAGACCCCCATCCCAAACGGTCGAGAAATCTCGTTGGCGGGATTACTCGTCGTTCCTACGATTGATTCTCAAATGAAGGAAATGGCTTGAGATAGCTATGTTTCATTGAGCTAATTAAGAAAACGAATGAAATTACCGCGCATATGTTTATTGTCATCATCCATAAGATAAAATAGATATTACCTTTTTATATTTATATTGTAGATTTATAGTTTCTGACCATATCACTCATGACGAATCTTTAGACTAATAATGTTAGAAGCGACAAAGCATATAAAAATTCTTACAAAATATACTGAAATAAAAACATTCTTCAATAAAACAATATTTACATTTGATAAAGTATACTTGTAGATTAAAAATTCTCCTTTTATTTTAGAATAGAAGAAAAAAAATTATATTTATCTCAATTCGCGACGACTGTAATATAGCTCTTGTTTCTTTTCCTATATATAGTTAGGCATAATGAATAATTTCAAGTATACTGTTATTTATCAAATATTAATTAGTTGTTAATATATTTCTAAATTTATTCCATTGATTTTAAATGTTGTTTTATTAAAAAATACTCACATTTTAATACAGTTTACAATAATTTTCTTTATATATTTTTCTCGCTTCTGATGGCGTTACAATGCAAGCTGGTTATGTAATGAGTTAATAACAAACATTTTTTTAACGGAGATTTTATACTTTGGCAAAAACTTAGTTACGACAAGCACATCTTTCTTATTTTATTTTTTTTTATTTTCAAATCAATAAGATGTAATCGTTGCCGATTTAAAGAACTAGCAGTACGTGAATCGCACGTTCTCTAAGTACACGTAGGCGTTGTTTGTGAAATTATTCTTCCTAATGAGGAATATGGAAAGCATGAATTTGCGAGGGTGTCTTTCTCGCAGGTTTTCGTAACGGTTCTAGCAGCATCTTTCGCACTGGCGACTTTAAGTATATACCACCTTGGGAGCTAGGTAATAACTGCCAGTGGAATTAGAAACGCCGAAGAGTCGCGAGGATAGTGGATGGGATGTACGTGACCGTAAGTTGATAGGTTTTTTCCTCGTTCGCACATCGATGACGGCGTATGCGTGCACACGCGGAAGAATTAAGCTGAGCAAGGTGGTATTTAAAATCCAATCTTCGCATTAAGAAAACATTTTGTACGCGACGTCGATTAAATTAATCTTCTTTGATTATTATCTTTCATATTTCTTTCAATAAAATTCAATTTGTTCCATACTTAAAATTCAGGGAAACGATCAGCGAATAAGACTCTGCGTTGGCGATGAGGCAACACTAATAAACTTGTATATGGCTCGAATTATTATACTGATTATCACGTTGAACTAAACCGCGATTCTGCTGTTATTTTCCATCTGTCAACCATCCACGATACTTTTAAACCTCCAAATTTTCGGCAAAAAATTCTACTATTGTATACAATATTGTCCGGACATTCAAAACTTTCGCTACAAAATTATTTCAGTTATTTCGACGAAAATCTCAACAACTCGATTAAATTTATCTTAATCATACAGATACAACTCAATTCCCCACGAGAAAAGCCTCTACATCATGTCCTGTTTCGGCGGTCACGATGAGCAGATCTATCTAATCGAGATATTGATCGATAAATTGACACTGACGCCCGATAAAATCAAAGATATTGGCGAACACCCCATCGTGATCAAGATCAAACTTTTAGACTTTCCCGTGTTTGAGTTCACACGAGATGACTCGGACGCATCAAAGCGTGATCAAGATGTGCGTTTTATGGTTGGTAAATGCTGCCTATTTGTCAAGCGACCGCGAGATTTGGTCCAAGGATTACGCTCGTCGAGTCTCAAGCTCGGCGTGTTTCGCGCGGACGAGACTTATCCCACGGCGGAGGCCGAATTGACTCTGCCAGGCTGTTTGTGCGACCAGATCTCTATGCTCGGTAATGATCCAGAAAATCAGCCAAAACCGTTTATGGTGAAGGGCGGCATCAACCTCGTAGATCCAGGCGAAGAGCCGTCTGGCACCCTGCATATGGAACTCGTCGTCGTATGCCTCGGACGTATTTTCAAGACGCACTACGAGTTACAGCCTAAATCTTTCGTTTCCGGTGAGCAGGACAAGGAACGAGAGATCCGCGTGACGCGATTTATACCGCCCGAGTTTCTCGATAAGGAAATCTCCAGGGATGTGATATTGCAGGAGATTATTCCAAAACCGAAAGTTAAAAAACCGAAAGCTAAAAAACCGAAAGATAAGAAAGCAAAGAAAGGTAAAAAAAAGAAGGATAAAAAGTGATTTCTGTAGATGTTTTCCAAGAGCTCTGAAGTGCGACTTTTTACATTCGTCAAATAATTATTTTCGATTCGTCGTTATGGCAATTATCTGACAACTAGAGAATTGACCTGTTGATGCGCGCGCGGAAAGATTGTTCGATTTTAGACTCGAAACGCTCTCAAAATTAATGGCGCAATCCGTACAGATACATCGTTAACGTCAATCCGAAGTCACTTTCTAAATTTGTCGTGTGGCCGACAACTTGCACGTATCTTCATTTCTGCGTCCGATCCACCCGAAATGGCCTTGAAGAAAAATATGTCAATATTCGAAGGAGAACAATTGTACATGCTTGAAATTCTTATTGATCATCTAAATCTATGTCCCGAAAAGACTGTTAGTAATGAAGGGTGCGATTTGATGATACGTATAGGTTTCGTCGATTTTAAACCTATTGACATCATCGCTCAGGAATCACTCAAGGTTAATGACGGAAGAACTAGGAGTAAGGCAAATGGATTTTCTAATGAGTACATTAATTGCGAAGGCAAGACATGTCTGCTCGTCCGGACACCGAGCAATTTAATACGATCTGTAAAATCGACTCCTCTAAGCATCGAAGTGTATAGGATTTCTCTCGAGGAGGACCATAATTCGCGAGATGATGCTAGATTCGTTCTCTTTTGCGCAGCAACGGCATTTTTGCCAAGAAGTTTTTGCGATCACATAACTGCGGCTAAGAACAAGATAGATGGACTATCAAAATCGTATGTGTTGACAAAAATTTACACTTTGACCGATGAACATGGTTATCCATGCGGTTCTATATCCATGTGCATGAGGCTGTCGTGTTTTGGAAGTTCCATTATAAATCATCTGGTGCTTCGCGAAAAGTCATTCATACTTCGAGGATTTCCTCTCGGTTGGGAGCTTTCTTGCACAAAACTGTCTGATGAAAGTGAAAACAACGAGAGATACATGAAAAAATGTGACAACAATACATCATTATTGCACAAAATTCTCGATCCTACATATTCAAAATTATATAACCAGGATGATCGTACAGAGACAGAGCCTGTGTTGACGAGACCAGAATCGCCACCTCGCATATCAATGAATCAACCAGGATTCGAAAAATTAACGAGCGCCGAGAAATTAAACGATCACAAGTACCGTGGTTTAATTTATGAGATCTATCACGACGAGCCGACTTGTTCGTGTTTACCGACAGACCGATCGACGCATCCAATGATGTGTCGTTCCGGATGTGTCCGTTCTTGTTGCATGGCTTTAAGAAATCCCGATTCTCTTAAAAAGTTTCCATCGCTCGCTACGCTTGCTTCTGATAATTTTTATTTAAAATCAGATATGGAGCAAAACGTGACCAATCATGACTCTACGAGATTAAGAGGTGGTGAAGACACAGAAGATAATTATTTAAATAATAAAGTTTCATGGGACGAAGGATACACATGGCATGAGAATGATATTAATTTAAAAAATCGTATGATGGGTGGAAGCGATTATAGTGCATCAGCCCGTGCGTTTCCCGAAGCAACGACCGTCATATATGAAAAGAGCAAGAGAACGGGCGCTAACTTGCCCTGCAAATTTCGATCAAGAACAGTGGACGGAATTAAAGGGACAGACTGCATTTGTCCAGGGAAAGTTTCGTCGCCTTGGAAAACAAATGCGTCTAGATGCTCGAAAAAACCGTGTGTGGGTGCAGATTGTATGATTCGTGCCTTCAAAGAGGTCCAAGAATTCGTGGATTCTCTCGGTAAGGTGCCAGGTATGAAGGGTCTTGGCTTGATGGATCCATCTGAAAGTCCTTATTTCGGTCGAGACATACAATGGGATTACACCATTCAAGAAACACCAAGCGAGAGAAAACGAGGATATCCCATTTCAGCACCGCCAGTACCAACAGTTCAGTGTCTCGCACCTTGCAATACACAGATTGGTAAACCAATCGCCAGTACTCTCTCCGCACCTTACGTTGCATCTACTTCCATAATGACAGTAGTTCCAGGACGCTCTGGTATTGTACGCGAGGCGATACCGTCGTTACCAGAAACGACGTCACTCTTGGTCGCCGTCAAGCCATCAAAAAAGAAGGAGGAGAAATTGGAAAAGCAGAAGGAGCTGGACGTAACAACCTCCGCGCCGCTAGACGTCGACGTTGGTCCTTGCGGTGAACCGAAATGCAAATCTCGCCGGAAGAAAAAGAATAATCGAACAATGCCGCGCGATAATGAGGAATCAGAGACAAAGCCAATACAGACATTACCGCCCAGTACCATTGCAGCGAAGGCTGTTGGCAAATTAATCGAAAAGGGACGATATCCGAAGGGTAAGCCAGGTCCGAGTGGTGATCGTGATAGGAGTCGTCCTATCAAGGTCAGCAGACGAGTGATGCGATACGTTTATTCTATTGGCGACGTCTATCCTGGGACTAATTACGGTCATAAGAATTGCATCGATCCACGATTTAGGGTGCCGGCTAACATGGGCTGGCTGTGGAATACGAGAGCAACGGCAGGCAAGTTCAAGCCACGAATCGGCTGGAAGCCAGGCGCGATCGGGCGTTACTTGAATGCATTGCTGAAGGAAGCAAAGGGAGCTTCTATGGAGGATTATCGGGCAAGGTCGATACCCTCGCGCACCAGCTTGCGACGCGGCAAGGTGTACAAAAGCATGAGCTACGTGTCTCAAATGAAGAAGGAGAGTGAAGAGGACGCGGAACCGCCACCGACCCTGCACATTCACCGTAAGGATGGCACGTACTACGTGACGATGTACCCGATCAGGCAGGAGACGACCGCGGATGTATCGCAGCTGGAGGAGCCGATGAAGCCACTGCAGTTCAAGATAGTGCGCAACAAGGATGATGCCTCTGTCGCGTCGAGCTCTACGGCGTCGGACATGGAAATCGAATTCTCGCCGCCGGCAGCGGTCAACAGGTACCGCAAGAAGCCCGACGTGATTCACGTGGACACCCAGGTCAGGCAGCAGGAGATTCTCGATGCGTTCAAGCTGACGGTCGACACGCCGAAGACGAAGGAGAAGAAAGACAGGAGGGAAAGGAAGGGAAAGAAGTAACGAAACCATCCTCCCTTTTCTTCTCCTTTCGCAGCCTTCGCTCATTATCCCTAGCACGATCATGAAAGAGAAGCAGCTTTATCGGAGGTTTGTATCTCACCGAAAATTTAAGTGCACTGCACGTTCTGGCGACCGGTTATATTATCCCGATCCTAATTTTACACGACGCGTTAAATTCGATTACGTGTAACCCATACTTTTCGTAAGTTCAGTCGGCTAATTGCGAGAATAATTTGTGAAGAAGAGAAAAGATGAAACACGATTACATCCTTCGTAAATTTAATATCTCGCTAAAATGACCGATATTATTTAAAGAGATGGAAAGAGAAATTATTATCTGAGTAATATTTACTTTTAATCCTTTTCAACTCGTCGCGATAAATTAGTTTGTTTGAAAGATTTATTATTCTTATTGTGCAAAAAACAGCATGTGTTTAACATCGCATTCGAGATAATATCAGAGTGTCTATGCAATTATATATAGAGATATGCGTTATCTCAGTCAATGCATCGTGTATTTATATCCAATCTATTGAATATTATTTACGGGATCTATATCGTGTCAATTGAAAAACGTGTAATAGGAAAATAAGTTTTATGCAGGTTATGCACGTTTCTACTAATGTAGATTAATTTTAATCTCGATTTAATTTACTTTTTTTTCTTTTCTAATTCTTGCAATTAGAGAATTAAGAAAAGATAAAAAGGATCTATATATAATTATTAAGCCAAGATTAAACGTTAATTAATCTTGTAAATAATAATGTTTCTATATTGGTAGAAACAGGTTGGTAGAATATTAGTCAAGTTTCCATTAATAAAGTCAGATTGATCACACCGGATTGAAGACATAAGCAGAGAGAAACCTGAGAGAGGCTATGCCGGTTTTTTTCCTGTTACGGTTGAAATCGCCCATACACTACCGCCAGTACATCCATTTTCAATTTGAGAACTACGTGACTATAATATATACACTTTCCAACACTATCGATAAAATCGTATCGTCGAAAGTAGATGTGGTTCGTCTCTGTACTAAATCCTCAGAACAAAAGTGTGCCGACTATTCATTTCGCATCTCCTGCACATGTAAATAAAAGTTGTTGAATTTTAATAAACGAAACTGAAAATCCAAACAAGTTAATTTAATGAATTTTATCTTGTAATATTTTATAAAATTACGAAGTTATGTTTCTTTCTGCCAATTTTCAGCCCGTTTTTACCAGACATAATTACTAGTACGCATCAAAGTCACTATAATTACTAGCAATTATATAGAGGTTTTTAATAAATTCAATCTCTTCTAAACATATATTGTCAATTTAAGGTATAATTTAGCAAAAACGAGATATAAAGGCCCTCCACCACCCCCATCAATTTTATCTACGGTCCTCTTTTCTATGTAAGTATACTCAGCCATAAAACAAATGAGCTATTAATAAATTTAGTAGCCCGTTTTTGCAGGTAAGTATATCTTTAATTAATTTTTTCATTTTTATGTCTAATTATTTTATTGTATTTCGCTAATGAAATTGCAACTTTTTTAATATTATTCTTTGTATTATTCCTTTATACAATTCGACATTACAATTATAATAATTATTTACAATACAATTATCAATGCTGTTCAAAATATAATAAAAGAGATAATATAGGACCATAAATAAAAAATTTTAGTAATGCAAGATTATACGAAAACGTCGAAAATATGTACGATAATACAAATTTTTCTAAACCAATGTTTAATGAAATATTAATAAATGCGGAAGAAATACTAACAACAATTAGATCGTATTTATTATTAATTATTAATTTGCGAATATAAAACTTAATAATATCGCGATAAAAAGTCATTAATATATTTATAACAGCGCTGTATTTCATGGCGTTCAAGATAACTAACTTAATAAAATTTTATCATATCAAAGTCCCTCCGTCTTGTAATTATCATATATTTCGTCGATTTCGTGTAATTATACGTATAATAAATACGGCAATTGAAAAAAATTCTTAAAAATCAATATCTGTTTATATGTCATTGTTTTTTGCACTAACTTATATAAAATTTAATCCTGGATAAATATTTGAGAATAGGACAGATATACTGAGAGAAAAGTGTTTGATATTTGTGATACTATAATTGCACGGTAAAATAATTATAATTAGGAAGTACATTTTTATATTCATTACTGCTATATAATAAACATTATTGTTCAATAAATGTAACCGCAAAATGAATACACTCATTCTTGAAAATTGATTTAGTAATTATGTGATAATAATAGCAAAAAGTATATTGAGAAAAACTAAAGATTCTTAAGTAGTATGTGCGACTATCATTTATAGCATAATTGATTATATTTGTACGTTAAAATTACTATTAATATGCAGTTGTCCCAAAAAATAACCATAAATTATTAAATTATGTCAGTTGTATGTAATCATTTGTTTTCTCTCAGTGCGTTTGATGATATATGAATACCATGAGCCAATTTGAAGTAAGAGTAGTAAATTAAAAAAGTTAATATATTTTAATTTTATTTAATCTCTTATCTTTCGTCTATATTTTTATATCTTTAAAATATTATAATATATTTCTTACAGATATGCAAATTCAATAAATTTTAATACACGTAATAATCTAAAATTGACCAAACAATATTATTAAACAATCAATATAATTGTTAATAAACAATATTCTATTATATCCTCATGGTATTCTCAATTTTTCGAAAATTCGGCGATTGTATACAGTGTGTGCATTCGGAAATATCTTTCGGAGACGAAATTTTAGTCCTACTTGGAATATCTTTCAACCTCAATTAACCCTATATAAAGTTGTTTTGATACTCGAATAATCAAATAAGGCCTTTTTTAATATCGCTTAATCTATACTTCTATTTAGCTTCTATTTAGAAAACTTCTTTTGAACCAAAAATAGGAAATCTCCCAAGTAGCACACAGCGCTTACAAAGCGTTAACAAAGCGCTAAAAAGGTATATATAATCGGGTTTTTAACGCTTTGCAAGCGCTGTTGTATGGCAAGCCGTTTTACTTTTTAACTAAAGAAATTTAGTCTAATGTAAAATTCTTAAAAAATAATTGTCTTAAAAAAATTACGATTTTTAATAATGAATTTAACATTAGACTAAATTTCTTTTATGCTATTAAAAAGTAAAACGGCTTGCCATACTGCTGTGCTACTTGGGCTTGCAATAACTGCCATTTACAGGCTCACAACGTAGGAGCTCAATTCATCAGATTAGAACCTATTACAAATCTCAGAATCTACATATGTCATCTTTAAAGCCAACATACGTCCTAAAATTAAGGTTCAAAGTGAGAGCAAAATTTCGACTCGGATTCGTATGAACACCAAATTAAACACATATGAACAATAAATTAAAAAAAAAAGAGGTATCCAGGATTAAGTTTACCCTAATCTGTTTTAACCTATCCATTTTAAGGCAACAGATGTATGGAATGCTACACGTATACTTATCGAAATATTAAATGTTATTAAATTGATGCATATATGCATTTAGATATATGGTATACTAATCAAATTACCATACATTCATTACTTCAATAAAAACGTAATTCATTCATCACTCACCGATCTGGTACGCAACAGTGGAGTTATATCTGCAATGTCGCTACGATGATTCTGCAGTAACAAAAAAGGTAAAATTCGAATTAAAACAGGGTAAGGAAATAATTATTATTTAAAAAAATAATTACTATATATGAACGCATGTAGAGTTTTATGAAAAATAATCATGCAATGTTGAAAACATAATTTTTATATGCTTCGGATTTTTTATTCATCATTTAATTAGATATTTATGAAAATATTTATACATTCTCTGAAGGAGACTTAAATAAGAATTAATTTGTAAAAAGTTTTAAATTTTTAAGTAATTTCTCTTTTTTTAAATTATTATTTTTAAATCATTGTAAAATAAAATGATTTAAGAACAAGCAAAAAAAAAGTTTAATTTTACATAAGTAAAAAACAATATTTACCGCAAGGTTGCTCCATCGGTGCCCGATGCCACTCTCAGACCTCCTCCTCCTCTCAGAATCGGGTTGACATCCTCTCGCACAGGACACTCGCGTAAGACACTCGCGAATAATACACTATGAACGCGCGCGGACTAATCATTTAAGAAAGTCTTTCGCGCGACACTGCGGCACTCCACGTTTACAAAACCCATGATAAGATTTCTATTTCGATCGGTGGAATCAACACCACACGTCGACGAGTACTCGCAAAACACACGATGAATACCGAACAAGGGTTAAGCCCCACACGGAAGAAGACGAAATCGATCGTATCGAGTCCGTTTTACGCAAAATCACGTTTAAAATTGACTCAGGCATACGCCCTAACTGCTAGTTCATGTGGGTCACAAGTGGTGCTGTACCACGAGCTCCCAAGAGATTGGTAGACGTGATAAGCATCTCTAATAAGAGAAATGTTGGTACCATTGCCGATTGTTTAACAATCTAGACAATGCAGAAAATGGGATCCAACCCCTCGTCGACGAGCTAATCCTTTTACAGACTACTAGAGCTAGGCTCTGACCAAGTCAGATTAAACGCGATTTAGGCTGGTAGATAATGACAGAGAAATGAGTGCCCTGACCAGAGTTATACAACTCCTTTTTGAGCGCCTACCAGAGCGAAATTCTGTAACTCGTTATGCAATCGTTATGTGCTCATAACGACTGCATAACTTGAGCTACCGA